ATGCACTGGAAGTAGCAACATGTGCAAATGATTGGCAGCCAATACTCAAGTTGTGCATTTAGACCCACTAGATCTTTGACTTGCATTTGCATGTCTGGTAGGAGTAAGGAGCACAGTTCCCATTTGCATCATGCCATAAAAGACCAGCAGCCTTCCAGTTAAAAACTGAAATCATGCACCTCTGCTCTTTAACCTCGCATCAACATCCTTAATTCTCTCTTCAATCAGGAAGGTGTCTAGTATAAAATGAGCAGCAAGTCAAATTACACAGCTCTGATGTTCTCGCTGCACTACAGGAGAAACGTCTGCACACAACTCATACACTTCTCAAACCTCTCATTATCCATGTGGGCCATGGCATCAGGCCCAAGACACTCAAAAGGATAAGGTTTGACAACATCAATACTCTGCTCTTATTTAACCTGGTCAAGACCGTGAAACTAGGTAAGTCGAATCATTGCACAGGACATGGCTAAAACACTATACAAATTTAAATCTCATTGCAAAAAGAAGGCCCACTACACCACATTTTGCCTTCTCAAAACAGATTCAGATCCATGTGCATTTCACGAAACAGAAATCACAAATGAAGCAATATATCTAATGTTTTGAAACAAGGGCCGTAAGACACCATGAAAAACAAATTAAACAGATTTCTCAAATATCCCCAGTGCCATGTACAAAATCCAAATCCCCCTTGTTAAAATGTTTAAATCTTGCCATGCGAAATCCAATCTTCACATGTAAGACATCTAAACACAGCTATGCAATAAAACTGGTCACAAAAAAACCAAAGACCTCTTACTTTTTGCTCTTTCTAAACTGCTCGTTTGCATCATTTTCTGCAATTGGGTCTGGTGCATGAAGGACTGCTCTTCATTATCCTGTATTACACAAGTTGGAAACTTAACCACTAAATTTCATGGTTTTGAACCTGGTTGCTCATACATACGAATTAAGAATGGGCCATTTAGTCCCTCAAGCATGCTCTGTAGTTTATTATCATGGCTGATCTGATTATGACCTCAACTCCACTTTTCTGTCTCATCTCACATCCTTTCAAACCCCTATCAAGGAATCTTTCTAACTCAGTCTTGAAGAATATTCAAGGACAGTGTCTCTGGGAAAGACAAACCCATAGACGATGGCTCTAAGAATTTTTTTTTGTTCTCATCTGTCTCAAATGGGAGATCCATTGTTTTTAAATTGCATCCTCTGGTTCTGGTGTCTTCCACAAGGGAAACATCCTTTCAGCATCCACCCGGCCATGTCCTCCAAATCTTATTCCATGTCCTCATTCTTAAACTCTTAACAGACAGGCCCAACCTATCCAATGTCTCTTTGCAAGAAATCTCTTCACCCCAGCAAACAGATGAGTGAACCTTCTCTGCACTGCAGGAGATCCTAGACACTCTGACCCTGTTCCTTCACCAACATCCTGTACAACTGTAGCAGACTATCCCTACTTCTACACTGTATTCCCCTTGTAATAAGTCTTTCATTTGCCTTTCTAATCACTTGCTGTACCTGTATACCAATATTTTGAGATTCATGTAACAGAACATCCAGAATTCTACAATCTCTCAATTTAAATATAAAATTAGACAAGTTCATACTTTCCCGTATTGTATCCATCTGTCAAATTTTTGCCCACGTACTTAAAAGGAGTCAGTAAAGGGATACAGGGATGAATTCTTCACAACCCATCTTCCAACTGACTTTGGCATCAGATGGTTCAATAACATTTCTTTTACTACATTTAATACATTAAAAAGAGCAGTTTTTTTTTTAAATACCTCGTTCTGGAATCACATTTTCTAATCTCAAGGCTCAAGGAGTTTGAAGCACCAAGAGAAGCATTTGCTGCACACAAAGAGGAGTGAATTGCACGTGCACAGAAGAGGCTCACAGTCAAGATTACATTTGCAGACTACATGTTGAACATGGCTGCAACAGCAGGTTATAGTGAAGAAACCTTGTAGCAATCAAATTGAACATGTGAACTGATACTGCACGATCAGAAGAAAAGGAATAGGATCAAAATGAGGGAGGATGCAAAGGAAAATTACACCACAGAACAGATGCAAACTTGAGAATAGATCTTAAAGTGTAACAAGCAGGCAAGCGGAGTCAACACAATGGTAGAAAAGTACACATTAAGAACGCAATAGAAAGATAACAGAGTTTCACAACAATTTAATATTTAGAAGCTGATAACTGTTTTCTGTAGAGTGTACAAGCAAAGCAGAAAGCAAAAAAATAATGAAATGGGGAGTATATCGCAGAATGCTCCGGATAAATGAACGTTTCTTGCATCTGAGGCCAAAAATAACAATGTTAGCACAAAGTGAATTCAAAAATTATGGGATCCATATAGCTCATCACAAGAATAGGGTTGAGAAAGGGAAAGAGTGAAGGAAGAACACATACAAAGATAATAAATTTCATCTGGGGAAGGCAAGCAACTATTATCTGAAACCCTTGATATAGCAAGTCACAATCATCTATACCAATACAAATTCTATGTTACAGCAGCATACGTAAATGTTCCAGATCATCAACAGATAATATCAGGTATAGACTCAGAACTATGAACCGGTCTTATAATTTCAGCATGTATTCAAATATGGGAGGAAACTTAAAATTTTGAATGGTTTTGTAGGTGCAAGAATCCTAATTTTTGAAGCAGTTCTAAATAAAAGTGAGCAACAAGTTATTACTATTAGAGAAAGCAACTCAAGACATACCTAACATCTTCAAATTTTTTGGTAATAGCAGAACCAAAATTAGTAAATGCAGATGAAGCCTTCTGACCAGCCTGAGAGAGGGTTTCAGATGTCTTCTTAAACCTGTAGAATTTAAATAATTTTTAGAAATTAAAACAAGCACAAAAAGGTATAGTTTCCAGCCGTTTTCATTTGGATGGATTTTGTTTGTTTCATTATGCAAGTACATTTCAAGTGATTTCCAAATCCTAGGTCTACTTCCTCTCCTAGATATTTCACATTTCCTATCTATAGTTTGTACTGAATTTACACCATATTCTGAAACACATCCAAGAAAGTCATGAAAGATACATGACAGTACAAGCTAATCTACTTTAGTGATTCACCCAAGCAGCCAAGACCCAGTGTAATCTTGGGGGAAGGTGGTTCGAGTACAACAGGAAATTGTACCAGCAATGCGCACAAATACAAATAAGTTGCCATTTCAGCATGGAGCTGGGTAAACTAAATTGAGATACATCAGCATCACTAGCAAAAAGGTTTAATTACATAAGATTGCATTGTCAATTAATTCTAAACGTAGACATAGGAACTTGCTGAAAATTTGATCAAAGTTCAAGGTGCTACATTGTGTAAGAGGTTCTGCATTATAACATTTGTTGTGAACTCACCTAGTATGCATGTCCAAGTTCCATAGAGTATATTTTCCATTTAGTTCCCATGCTGTATGGTGGAGGGGCATCAAAGCTCACCAAGAAACATTAGGCTCACCACTAATTTAAAATGACTTATTACTATAAACATAAAAAGGAACTTTAAATGAATCCCTCCCACCTCTGCCACCAAACCTTTACCCCACGTCATCCAATAGTGTTAACAGTTCTTGAGTTACTATCCCTCTCTTAAATCTGCCATCATTTCCCTTCTCTTCACAAAAACCAACACCTGAATCGACTATTCTTGTAAATTGCTGCCCAGGGGCCAATTTCCCTTTTCTTTCCAAAATCCTGTTGTCACCTCCCAAATCCATGCCCATCTTTTCCAGAGCTCCATGTCTGAATCCCTTCAACAGCATTAAAACTACTCAGTCACAAGTGGCAAAGACAAACTATACTTCCTCATTCTTTGAGTCAGATGCAGCCTTTGATGTTGACTAAACCATAATCCTTTTCACTACCATCTAGCTGGACAGAACTGCACTTGTTTGGTTCCAGTGATATTCAATTGTAACCACAGTTTACTTGAAATGCCTTCTCTTGGGCCATAAACTCCAGGGTCCTTTAATGGTCCGTCATCTGTTACCTCCTATTCTTCATCTACACCCTTCCCCTCTGTCATCAACTGAAAGCCCAGCATTACTTTTACACATGCACTGATAACACCTAACTCCAACTCTCACTGCTTGTGAAATTATCAGACTACTTACCACTTGACATTCTGTAATGGAGGAGGATAAATATCCTTCAATCAAGTACAGGGTATCCTCACTTAAAAGTTGGGGTTCCACTCCAGAAAATTGAAACTTTAAGTGGAAAAAGAAACTAAATGAAGCATTGATTCTCCTAAACATCAATGCTAAAACAGGAGCTCCATTTCTATAAGGCCTCCCTCAGCAAAAGAAAAATAAAAATTATACTTGTAATTTCTAGGTTGAAAGAGTGTTACATGTACTTGAAATGACTGAATTCCAACATTTGTAAATTAACCAACTTAAAAATGAAATACATTTAAATGCTGAAAGAAAATGAAACATTCTACTCACACTACCTCCTACAGGCCCAGGAGCAACTGCCCAACATTTGCACTGAGGGACATTGCTCATTGAGCTCTAGGCCACCTGCACTGCATTGGTTTCTTGTTGCATCATGGCCACTGCCTAGGACATCTTCTTTGAAGACTGGTGAATTCCGAATTAGCCGAAGCCACGGGGGGCAGCTTCGTTGTGAGCGGGCAGATCCTGAAGGGCAGCAGCAGCCTATGCTACCTCTCGGGGGATGCTGTTAGGTGGCAGCTACAACATAGCCAGGATCAAGCAGCTGCTCAAGCAGATGATCAACAGCCAAGTTGGTGGAACTCGCTGTTGAAGACCTCAAGCAGTCATGCAAGCGTGATGGGAGGCCACAAGTAGGAAGGCTAGCAAGCAGCGTTCAGTCTGAGAAAGGGAATGGTTACTTTCAGTGGTGCCAATCAGGTCAGGTAACATCCTGCAGCAAACAACATTGAAGCTACACAATTTCCAGTCCAAATAACAACGTAAAAACAAAACAATGCCAAAAAGGGATATTAACTATGGACTCCCCATTCTGGGAAGACTGAGGCTGCCATCATCTTCAGTCCATGCTCCAGACTTTCCTAGCTACTCATCCCATCCCTCTCCCTGATAACTGTTCTAGGTTAGATAAATTGCATCTGCTTTACCAAAGTAGTCTTTGGTAAGATGCCTTATAATAGATAAATGGATAACATTAAAAAATGGACTCAGTAATCCATTCTGTCGTTTGTGCACTAACTGGTTTTAAGACAGAACCCAGAGGGAATAAAACATGTTAGTCAGTGTGGTAGATGAGAAGTGATCTCATGTTCAGATGAGGCCAACTTCGACAAGGGAGCCTCTGAAATGTTAACCTTCTTCCTCAACTGAGGATTCCCCAGCACCACGGTCGACAGGGCCCTCAACTGGGACTGACTCATCTCCCGTACTTCCACCCTCACCCCTTCTCTTGCCTCCTGCAGCAGCAATAGGCTTCACCTTGTCCCTACCTACCATCCTGCCAGCATCCACATCCAGAAGACCATCAGATGCCATTTCTGCCACCACCAGACGACACCTATTCCCTTCCCCTCCCTTGTCCGCCTTCCACAGGGACCGTTCCCTTCGGGACGCCCTGGTCCACACCACCTTCATCCTCAACAGCCCCCCACAACCCTACAGCACCTTCCCCTGCAACCAGCGAAGATGCAACACTTGCCCATTTACCTCCTCTCTCCCCACTGTCCAAGGGCTCCAAACATACCTTTCAGGTGAAGCAACACTTCACCTGCACTTCCCAGAATCTAGTCTACTGCATTCGCTGTTCACAATGTGGTCTCCTCTATGTTGAGGAAACAAAGCATAGACTGGGTGACTGTTTCACAGAACATCTACGTCCTGCTCACAAAAAAAACCCTTGTTACTTGTTGCCTACCACTTTAACGCACCACCCTGCTCCCTGGCCAACATCTGTCTCTCTGGTTTCCTGCAGTGTTCCAGCGAAGCTCAACACAAACTGGAAGAACACCACCTCATTTTCCGCTTGGGGACACTGCAGCCCTCCACACTCAAGAGTTCAATTATTTTAGGGCCGAACCTCTCCTATGTTCCAGCCCCCTACCCGACATACCAGGCCTTGTTATCACATAGCCTGCCATTACACACTACCTATTATTAGTCACTAATAGTCCCCATTAACTATTCACCTTCCCAGCCAGATCGTTATCAACTCCTTTGTCTGTCCAACTGTTCTTCTTTCGTTAGACACTTCTATTCTTTCGTTTACTCCCTATCGCACCCCCTCCCTATTTTCTGCATATAAACTGACGTTTTCCCAGCCACCACCAGTTCAGAGGAAGGGTCACCAGAATCGGCACGTTAACTGATATTTTTTCTTCACAGATGCTGCCAGACCTGAACTTTGAGCAACTTCTGTTTTTGTTGCTGATGCACAGCATCCGCGGTTCTTTCAGCTTTTAGAAGTGATGTTCTACAAGAATTAGTGAAGTGAACACTGCTGTTGACTACTTATATTAATGATTTACACTGTAGAATTTAAATGTGATGACATTTTTGGGGGAGGGGTGTCAGTTATCACCGACAACTGCAACAAAACAACAAACCATTAATCAAGGAGTTTTTTTTAATATAAAAAAAGTGTCTAATGATGACCATGAATCCAGTGTCAATTGTCAGAAAAACCCATCTGGTTCACTAAATTTTCTGAAGGGTCTACACCCAAAACATCAGCTTTCCTGCTGCTCTGATGCTGCTTGGCCTGCTGTGTTCATCCAGCTCTACACCTTGTTATCTCTAAGCCATTAATCAACTTGCAGTGTGAACGTACAAAGCAAATAACGATTGGCATTTGGGGAGGTGATGGCCTAGTGGTATTATTGCTGGACTGTTAATCCTGAGACCCAGATAATGTTCTGCGGACCCGGGTTTGAATCCCACTACGGCAGATGGTGGAAAGTGAATTCGATAAAACATCTGGAATTAAAAGTCTAATGAGGACCGTGAATCCAGTGTCAATTGTTGGAAAAACCCATCTGGTTCACTCATGTCCTTTAGGGAAGGGAAATGCCATCCTTACCTGGTCTGGCCTACATGTGACACCAGACCTACAGCAATGTGCTTGACTCTGAACCGCCCTCTGGGCAATTAGGGATGGGCAATAAATGCTGCCTAGCCAGCGACATCCTCATTCCGTTAATGAAAAAAAACAGTTCAATACGCAAGTGTAAGGTATTTAATTTAGGATAAATTATCTAGGCCAACTGGCTTGTTTTGTGCCATATTAACAATGATGCCAGATTGTTTGCAGCTATGTCATGGTTGAGTCAGGTATGTTCATGACCACACAGCTGCATCAGCTATAAAGTTAGTCATTGCCAGGACTAGAAACACTTAACTTGTCCGCTGTTTCAGCTCATCTGCTACTGAGACCCTTATGGTGCCCCTTTAATTCTTGGCTTGCTTGCTCCAAATCAATCCCACATGTATCTGGGTTCTAACCTTTATAAAGGTTACCTAACTGCTGTTTAGGTTACTATGCCACTGCCTGAGACCTTCCTTGCACTAGATCCTGCTCATTTATCAGCCCTGTATTTGTCGAGCTACACTGGCTCCAGTAATAACACAGGGCAGCATTTTAAAATCATTGTTTTCCAATCCCTCTACAGCGTCTCCCTCCCTCAATCTCATTACCTAAAGCCTCACAACCATCTAGGAGTCTGCTTGTAGCCTCACGAACATTCCTAATTTTATTGCTAAAAAATAAGTTCTTGAACTTTCAGCTGCCTTGACATTTAACTGGAAATCCCTTACTAAAAATTTGAGACCCCATAGGATTCTTCAAGATGCTCCTTAAAACCTAGCTTTTTAAACCAAATTTTTGGTCATCACCTTTGAGGGTTCAAAGTCTAATTTTGCTTTTCAACACGAAGTATCTGGGGATGTTTTATTACATTAAAAACACTATATAAAATGTGTCTCATTACACAAATTGAAAACTGAAAGCGAGTAGCCAGTGAACTCAAAATCAGCTTAAACAAATATCACCACTTTCAAAATGTGAACGAAATTCAGGTCATGTCTTCAGTTGCATTTGAATAAGCTGAAACTGAGGAGGTAGGGAATAGCTCTTCCTTGCCTTCATGGCTCAACTTACTTACTGGTTTGGATTTACCCAAATTATTCAGGATTTTCTTTCAATTGGTTCTCAATGCAAAGATTTGCTCATCTGTAGCTGCCCTCAGATGGGGGCAGTTGGATGCTTTTATGGAAAAAAAGTAATAATTTATGCAATGGAATTGCTGGCTAGATCACTAGCTAACACAAGATGTTAGCTTGTCATAGAATAAGGACAATGAAGAATCATTTTGGTCTTTATATGCTGGATAAGCTCTGTAGTCAAGATTATATAGCAATTTGTGAAAATGAACATTCAGATCTGAAATCATGACTAGTGACTAGTACACCAACTTTCAGTATGTCAATTCAGAGTTTCTCAATTTACCCTTTTCCTGCCATTAGCCTCAAACACCAGACCTATTATGGTGATTAGGACAGATGGCCAAAAACCTGAAACTGGTAGGTTTGATGGGGTGTCTGAAAAGGAGGAAAGTGAGCTAGTCAGCTACTGGGAAAACATTGGTATTATGTATAATGCCATGCCATTTGCTCAGTGACCTCATACAATGTAATGACTTAAAAAAACTAGGTTGCGACTCCACAGAAAGAACAAAACTTGTTTCTTCAGTAATCTGGTTCTTCATCTTGACTTGACTAGAAGGGGAAAAATGCAATGAAACAGGAGATTACAAAATCCCTTGGCCGCAGATTATTTTTCCCTATTCTATTCAGATGCAGAGAAGAAGAGGCACTCATATTTTGGGCATTCTTCAAAAGTATCGAATTGAACCCAAGAAAGACAGTGCATGTGACTAACTTCAAACATGCTCTGTTTATGTTTATAGCATGGGCTTGGTCTCAAACTTTTATTTTAAAAAGTGGCTGTGACAACTAACTGCAAAATGTAACAGGAAAATTTCTATACAGCAATTTCAACATTGTATATGATAGTATAACCAAGTGAGAGAAAGAGGAGAAATCTGAAGCAAAATTCAAAACCTGAACCTGTATAAGTTTAAAAAGGGAATAATCATCTCAGGTCATTTTCTCCTAGTTGCAAGTGTTATTAATTTTCATCAGAAGTTTGAACAAAAGATGGAAGAACAAACTGTCTACCAATCCATTTTATAAACAACTAAAAGGCAGGCAAGTCTTTCTTTGCATTTATTCAATTCATGGTTCTATTGGCCATTGCTATACTATGCACTTACGCTGTGGAGGATTGTACATCTAACCAGCTTTTTGACAAATTCTGTTTAAGTTCATGTAGTGGAGTCAATCCTAGCTTCTTCTTTAATTCAGCAACATGTCTTTCTTTAGCTGCAAGCACTTGAGAAAGCGTTTGGATTTCCTCCTCCACCTAAGATATAAAACAGACGAGAGTTCAACATTGCAGAGTAATGGAATTAAAAGAATTTTAATATTTAACAGCGACTTCGTCATCCTCCTCCTCACATTTTTGTACCAGTTATGTTATAGAGCTCCCCTGAAAGAAGATAGCAAAATAAATTCTAATCATATTGCTACAAAGCACAAGTCAATCATCTGTTGGAATACTCTCCACTAGCCTGGATGAATGCAGGTCTAACATTTATAAAGCTTGACACTCATCCATGGCAAAGCAGCCAGTTTGATTGGCATCTTATCCACCACCTTCAACACTTACTCCCTTCAATATTGGTACAGTGGCAAATGTATACCATCAAAAGATGCACTACAGTAATTCACCAAGGAACCAAAGACAGCGCTTTGCAAATTTGTCCTTCTAGATGGTAGAATTTGCAGAGCAAGAGATACATCAAAACACCACCTGCAAGTTCACCTCCAAGCCACACCATCCTGACTTGTAACAGCATCATTATTCCTTCAATGTCACTGGATCAAAATTCTAGAACTCTCCTCAACAGAAATGGGATCCTGCAGATGTCAGCTGTCACCCTCTGGAATCTTCTAGATACAAAAGTTCATTGCTACACTCATCATCACTACCCCAATCAGTAGCCATCCATCTAATACTTCTACCTCAGGTCTTCCTCCAAAACGACACTGAATTCTGCTACTATTATTCCAAAAGTTGAATCTTCAGAAGCAATGCCTCTTCAAACCATACCTCCAGCAGTACTTTCAGTTGGTGAGACCATCCTGATGGGGGCTGCCCATGTAGATGGATTGCACAAAATTGGGGAAAAGGTGGCAGCTGGTGCTCACAAAATGGAAATGTGAAACAGACCATAGCATCTGAAAAATAGTAGATGTAAGTGGAAAGAGACAGAACTATGGATAAAAATAAAATTCAAGTCAAGGTAGGGAGAAGTAAGTTCTGTGGGGCAGGAATAGGCTCCCAGATGAGATGAGTTTAGCGACAGTCACGGACAGTAGCCTGATGTTCAAAAGTGGGGTCATGCTCCAGGGGCAGATATGAGGTGGTACTAAGACCTGGCACTCAACCTCTAACAGAGGTCAGTATGCCTGACAATGGCTGCAGCACCCTTGTTGGTAGGTTTAATTTCAAAATCAGGATTGGATCTGACAGCACAATGCAGTCAGTTCAGAAGGCAATAGGTTAGAAATGGGTTCAGTGGATCCCATGATAATGATCATCCACTATTCAATTTTAAACCAAGACTTGAGATGCAGTGAAATAATATTGCACCTGTATTTTAAAAACAGGATGCAATTTAGAGAGGTTTTATGTTAATGAGTTCAAATATATTGCAAGCGTGAACTTGCTGTGAGCTGGTGTGAAACTCAAAACATACAAACACACCTGACTTTATTTCTACATCTCCACCTGCTAACAGGAAATCAAGATTTTTCTATTTTTTTTTTTAAAAAGAGGATTGATATCTCCACAGCAACCATTCTTCCATCACCTGTTCTCTTGCCCCAATATCTTGCCTTACAAGTAGGGGAAAGATTTAAAATGGACTTAAGGGGCAACTTTTAAATGCAGAGGGTGGTGGGTGTATGTAATGAGCTGCCACAGGAAATGGTGGAGACTGGTATAATTACGACATGTAAAAGGTATCTGGATGGCTGTGTGAATAGGAACGGTTTAGAGGGATATGGGCCAAATGATGGCAAGTGGGACTAGATTAATTTAGGATATCTGGTCAGCATGGAGGAGTTGGACCGAATGGTCTGTTTCCATGCTGTACATCTCTATGACTCTGAAACAAAAATGCATGAACATAACTGTGAAAGGTGAATTTAGAGTGATAGCTTTTCACGTGTAGAAGTATGTCGGTCATTTTGGAATGAAAACATTTGTCGATGTACATCTTATCCAAACTTAAATACTGTAGTATCTAGGAAGCTAATAGTTTGCTTGTGTGGTATTGTGGCTTTAAGTTTAATGTAGAGTTGCTAATTGAGGAAATTGATAAATTATTCCAATTCTGCTCTGTGTCCAAACATCCCAAGTATCAACATAGACACAGATGGTATTGTTACTATGTGACAGCGTCACCTGATACGGGAGTGTGAAAATTTAAAAAGTGCCCCAAAACCAAAATGCAGCCACGGAACTCAAAACCCTCAAGAAAGACTCCAGAGGAGCCCATGAACGCCCAAATAAGTTTGGCTCCTGCAAAGGGCCAATCCTACTCTGGCTCCTCAGTTGGAACAGGGCATACTCAGAAATAGCAGTGAAAGATTGACTGGTGGATAGGATTAAAATAAATATGATCTTCTGGGCTTTGCTGGACTCATGGGCTAACGGCAAATACGTGTGTTAATTAGAAGTTTTCATGTTAAGTACTGTTAGAATCTTAGCCTGTCAATTCACAGATAAACAACAATCTCATATTTTTCTTGCAAATGAGTTTCCTAGTGATTATCTGGAATATTCTGCTCGGCTACCTCAAAAACAGAAATTTACCTGTCCTGAACACTACTAGTGCTGTATGTGCAGCCTAACCAGCAGGATTACAAAAGTTACCAAAAAATTCAAACAAAGGTTGAATATGGAGCTAAAGACCAATACTCAGCTCAGCTCTCTGAATTAATATCAGGGGACACTGCCAGCAGACAGTGACGAGAAATGCAAACATTCATTAGCATGCTATGTAAACGATAGCCAAGCACCTTTATCAAGTCAGCTTCAAGCTCACCTGATCAGACACAAGTATCAGTCCTTGTTCACATAGCAATTCCTAGACAAAGGCAATTCCCACCTGCGTACTGTGGGGTTGTTTGAAAATAACATTTGAGAGATCAGGTTAAAGTAGTGAAACATTGTTAAAATAGGCCCACTTTGCTCACTTCCTTTCATTCAGAAGACTCTTCTGCACCTTGGTGTCATCTTATAACAAGTATGACAAATTTACCCTACAGTTATGGTCAGATCTAATCAAGAGAATTCTTCTAAATCAGCCTGAAGTTCACGTTTATCTGCCAATCCCAAAATCCAAAAGCAGATATATCGAACTTTTTAATCCACTTGGGCAACCTTGCTGTACACATGTTGGCAGCTGCTTTACCAGTGCTCAGTAATTGCACTTAAAGTGAACTATTAATTTTCAAGCAGTCAGACATTGATAAAATGAAAGATGGCATTTAAAAGCAAGCCGATTCTTAATTCAAATCGTACCTCAAAAGGAGAAACCTGCCTTCCTATCACTAACCTATACCAACTCATGTTGATAAGGCAGCAAGTACTGACACATCTTGTGAGAATCAGAACATTCTTGTAAGGTATGATTTGAAAGCCAACTGCAAAAAAAAAACCCAATCACAAAATGGATCCCAAAACTGCTTTCTCCAAAAGGTCATAACGAGAAATGAAAGTGCTTCAATTTCATTTCTACCTATTTCACAATTGTGTGGTAAACAGCGCAGATTTTTTTTTTTTTTTTTAAAAACATTGCATCAAATGCTAGGCTGTCATTCTTAAGAATTCAATGCTTAACAATTCAGCAAGAGTCATCTTTTGTGCATTGATACATAGCTGTTCAAGTATTCAGTTTTCAACGACTGCACAAGGATTTTTCATATTCAAATATTTTATGACAAATGCAATCCATATTTTGAGCCTTTGCTGTTGATCCTTTTTCTCCAGATATCACTGCAACCATGATGACAGTACTAATGCTCTTTTTCAAAATAAAAACCAATCTACTGTGGAATTCCAAACCAAATTCTCCTGCTTGTTGGCAACCAGCTAATGGGTTATTTCTTGTTTGATTCTAGCTCAGACTCTAAACATTTGAGCTCTTGCATTCCATTATTCAGTTTGTCTCCTTTCCTTCCTAGGTCCCCTAGGTTTATTGTTCAAAACTTCAGTTTCTTAAAAAAAAATCATACCATACTGATCTCTTATTTAAAGAAACTCACAGATCACATAGCCAAACACTCCAGAAACAATATTATCTTGTATTTTGTCAGCCACAGAATTCTAAAAAGCAATCTTATTTTCAAGACCGGTGATTAATCCCTTCAGTTTCTTACCTGCTGTGTGATAGTGCCAACTTCACTTAGCACCTTCGAGATGTGGCAAAACCTCCATTTTACCACTGCTGTAATACTGTATGTGAATGCCCACATATCCATCTTATTTTAAGTAACAGGGTACCATACAAGATGGGTTTATAATTGATTATACATTGAAGATCTAAAAATCAAACAAGAACACACTTCGCATTTTTTCTGAACCTGGAGAAATTGCTTTGATTTTTTCAAATGATAACAATGTAATTAGATCAAATATTTTGGGGGTGAGGAGAGGAAATAACCTTCCAGAAAACTCTGTCAGCTTCAAAACTGGCATTTCTTACTTTAGCAAGTTCATTTGTCAGCTCTTCTCGCTCATCATCTGTCATTCCACCTCCAAGGTCAGAAGTTGCAACAGCATCTTCTCCAATTTCGGGTGCTGGATCACCTTGCAACAGGCCTGCAACAAGCAACAGAAACAGTTATTTTTTGATAATTGGTAAAGGAAGAAAAGAGCCAGCTTTTACTTGGAATAGATCTATGTAAATTGAAAGGTTACAGGTTTAACTCCCAACTGCAATCTCCTGTGTCAGCAAGTGCCTGTGTGCGCTCAAATGACAACCCAAATCAATGCTTTCCACCTAGAACACTCAACCACAATCGAAACAATTAATACATTACAGTAATCTATGAGACATTAAACCTACAGATCAGAAATGGAGAATGTTCAAGTACTTGCTCAAGACTCATTTTTAAGGACGAATCACATAACTATGAAATACGTACATGTTGTGCTTAATATTGCAATAACTATTACTCCAAAACATGGGCTAAAACAGAAGTTGCTGGAAAAGCTCAGCAGGTCTGGCAGCATCTGTGAAGAAAAAAATCTGATTGCGTTTCGGGTCCACTGACCCTTCCTCACCACCGACGGTAGCTAGGAAATTGTTGATTTATATGCCTTTACTCCCTATCTTCTGCATATATAGAAACGTTTTCCTGGCTACCATCAGTTCGGAGGAACGACCTGAAAGGTTAACTGATTTTTTTCTTCAGATGCTGCCAGGCTTGCTGAGCTTTTCCAGCAACTTCTGTTTTTGTTCCTGATCTACAGCATCTGCAGTTCTTTCAGTTTTTATTTAACTCAAAACATGTAGCTTTAGAAATATTCCTGTAAAGCTCATTTGAATTCATTAATTCTAGTATTTTTAGCACAGACTTCATATAGAGATGATCAGTCTACACACAAATTTTAAAAACTTTGCAGTTAGACTTGGATGAAAATTAATATTAATTCAATAGCAAGAAAATGAACTTTAGTCAATAACTCAACTTCCTTAGGAATCGAAGATGCACTGCATCTAGAGCGATGCCTTCACTACCTGGGGAAATATGAAGTTTACCATTAACTCATTTTTACCCTATCCAATTTCTCTAGAACATTTTCCTTCATTGTGACATTGTACTAATATCCACAGAAGAGGAAGTGCTCAAAGAATACATTTGGTACCTCCATTCTGCCTTCACACGAAGGTCTGTGTTTTGGTCCTTTTAATTGAATCATAAAGGGACAATAAGTTTCAAGAGAAAATACAAAATTGTTAGCTGTGAAATTTTCACTGACTCTTTACTCTCATAATTCCAAGCTAAATTCAACATACCTGTTATGAACAAATTAAAAGTTTTGTCCTTTAATATAAAATAAAAGCTGTCCAATGAAGATAAACAGGAAATAAATTCAAAATATGATCTAATCTTATTTGTAACTATGATTTCATGTTAATATTTTACAATGATAACCCTGTTCATTCTAATCCATCTACAAACAAAATTGAAAAGGCACATTTTGAAGTGACAAAACATTTCAAACCTTAAATGTGAAAAATAAATGTACTCAGAAGTAAAGCAGATCACTGCAAGAGCCAACTATAAGCATGTTAAATTGGAATTAAAATAAAGATGTGCAATGTTAAATAAAAACTTCCATTATAATTTGGTATCACAAATGAATAAAAAACTAAACTTAGTTTTACAAGCTAGTTTTAAAAGTAGACTGGTAAAGTTAATACAAATATCATAATTGCATTTGGCAGGGTACTTTGGTTTTGTTTTAAATATATGAAGTCCAGTTAATTCTTCAAGTTGTTCAACTAAGTATCAACTCTTATGCAACTCAAGCCTCTGCATGCAATAAAGTAATCGGTCCATCAAAAAAGATTGAATTAAAATAATGTGATTACAGCTACAAATATACCCAACAATGAAGTTTGGCAGAGACTTAATGCAAGTCTGCATGACAAATTTGCTTCAAAACGGCAAACCAAGTATATGAACAAATAGTACTTTTGTGCTTAGATTAAAATTACAGATAAAAATCACATTTCTGGATACAAGTGGCTTTTCATAATATAAAGAGAAAAGCAAAGCAAAGCAGTCAGATGAACTTTGTTGGATCACGAGTATTAACTTAGTGCCCAAGCCTTGGCAATTCTCTGTACAAATTAAGTCTTCAATATTTTCCTGCCAAGCATCCGATTTCAGGTGCAAACAGCATTCATTACCAGAGACTTTAAAGAGTAGTAATTCACCCCTTATCTGTTCAGCAAGAAAGCAGAACTTAAGTCTTGTAACTTTGCACATTTAAAGGAAACCAGAGAGAACATGGACAGGAATCAGTCATTAGTGACTAACTTTGCCTTGTCATTTGCTAAAGATGGCAGTTATCTGGATAATCCCAATTTCCTGTGCTTTTCTCTGTATCGTTTAATATTCTAACTACTTGATCAAATTATTTTCATTATTAAAAATCACAATTTTGAACCTTGAATCTTCTTGTGAAAGGCAATTCCATACTCAAGGTTGATTTCCTGGGTTTGATTTTAACCAGCTTAAACTAAGTGTTATGTTCCTTTCCTGTAGACACTATTTATACAATCTGTCTCTTTGAACTCAGTGACCTTAGCCTCCTCTAAACCAGCACAGAATACATTCTTTTACTTTTGGCTCAATTCCAGGTCTTTCGTGCCAAAATGATTCACCATATGCTGGTCTCAAGCCTCCAAGGTAAGTGCAGTCAGGTATTGCACTGGTGTCTGAGGGTGTAATCAAGTGATGGGACTACATCTCAACCTGTTTTGTTCCTCCTCCTAAGGCTTCTATGGTTGGGCAAGTGACAGCTTATGGGTGTCTCCAAGTAGGAACTCCCGGCACTTTTCCCTCCAACCACAGGAAGTGCTACACCTGCCCCCATAACTCCTCCCTCACCCCCATCCCAGGCCCCAAGAAGACTTTCCACATCAAGCAGATGTTCACCTGCACATCTGCCAATGTGGTATACTGCATCCGCTGTACCCGGTGTGGCCTCCTCGACATCGGGGAAACCAAGCGGAGGCTCGGGGACTGCTTTGCAGAACACCTACGCTCGGTTCGCAATAAACAACTGCACCTCCCAGTCGCGAACCATTTCAACTCCCCCTCCCATTCCGCAGACGACATGTCCATCCTGGGCCTCCTGCAGTGCCACAACGATGCCAACCGAAGGTTGCAGGAACAGCAACTCATATTCCGCTTGGGAACTCTGCAGCCCAATGGTATCAATGTGGATTTCACAAGCTTCAAAATCTCCACTCCCCCTACCGCATCCCAAAACCAGTCCAGCTTGCCCCCACCTCCCTAACCTGTTCTTCCTCTCACCTATCCCCTCCTCCCACCTCAAGCCGCACCCCCATCTCCTACCTACTAACCTCATCCTGTCCCCTTGACCTGTCCGTCCTCCCTGGACTGACCTATCCCCTCCCTAATTCCCCACCTACACTCACCTTTACTGGCTCCATCCCCGCCTCTTCGACCTGTTTCCTCTCCACCTATCCTCTCCTCTATCCATCTTCTATCCGCCTCCCACTCTCTCCCTATTTATTTCAGAACCCCCTTCCCCTGCCCCTTTTCTGATGAAGGGTCTAGGCCCGAAACATCAGCCTTTCTGCTCCTCTGATGCTGCTTGGCCTGCTGTGTTCATCCAGCCCTGCACCTTGTTGACTCAAAGGAATATTTGGTTTTGGGAATGCCATGGGTTGGGGGAGGGGCAGTGGAGAACACAAGGGGATGGTACGAAAAAGTCATCCGTGGTCATACCATCAATGTTTCTCATCAGCCAGATAACAGAATAAGGCTGTACTAGGAATTAAGCAGGGGCAGAAGGCAGAAACATGCACTCAGTCCAATGTTCCCAGATAGAGCACAGATGGTCCCATGATGCAGACAAATGGTGACCAATTCCATAGGATTCACTTACATGTCCCTGCCTTCCACCACTCTGCTCTGTTCCCTTCTATTATGTGCCACCTTGCCCTTCATAGACGGGGCAGAAAATCAGTGCCTATGAAGCAGTCGTTGGGTGATGCACCTGTCACAGCTAAATAGCTACAAATATGTCAAAGCAGTGAGAGTTGTAAGAGGTTACCAGACTTGGTAGGCATACAAAGATAAGATACAGCATCTGGAGATTATGCATGTGTCCAAAGTATAAAGGATGGGTGCTTGGTAAGCGACAGGAGTGCGATGCATGGAGCAATGCAAGAGGCTGTGGTGCAATGACTGGGATTAATGCCTTACGAAAATGCATTCACTGACATTGACATCTTAAGATGTCAATAAAACTCCATGGCACTGCTGCCAAGTCTTTGGATCCATACTCCAGGAGTGGACTTTCTTGGACTTCTGCTCCCAGTCCTTAACGTGGAGGTACTTCAGAATTTCTTGCCCCATCCTCTATGCAAACATGGCATCCTGCTTCCTGCGCCTCATCGATGATGTTCACCTCAATGTTCAGGTTAGCATCACTGAAAGTGCAGCAGTTTTCACTTCAGCTTCTCTACAAGAAAAAGGCAAATTATTTACAGCAGACTACACAATGCACCTCTCTTGTGCAGAGGTCAACAGCAACTAGGAGTAGAGAGTAGCTTGAGAGCTGTTCTGCCAGGCATTGCAAAAAGAAAATTAAAAATTCTGATAGGTGGGCAAATCAAATCTGCACTTGGCCCAAATTAATGGCATTTTTCCCTTACCTTGAGCTTTTACCACAGTGTCTTTGGCCTCTAAGTAATATATCCACAAATTCTTCATTGTTTTAACATCCAGTGATGGATACCATCTAATGCTGGATGGTTGGTTTGCTTGCTTATTAAGGCAGAACCCAGGTTGTGAACAGGTATATTCACAAGTTGATTTGTATGCAAGTTGGAACACAATGCAGGATGAGTACAAGTGGATCCTTAAAATTAATTTGTATATCACTGTATGAAATCTCAATCCAAAATACAAAATTTCTTAAGTCAGATATTTGTACGTCAGGCCCATCTGTATCCTGTTTTAACCATGAGGGGATTGATTTAGAGATTAACTTAAACACTCTGCTCCAATATTTCTCCTGTACTTATTTATATCGAAGGTAACAGCAAAACA